CCTAATATTCTTGGTTGCAGCCAGGTCTGAACGAGAAAGCAGGCATGGTCAAGAGCTCACCTAGGAACCTCTCTGCTGATGACAGCCAAAGGGCAACAGTCCTGAGGTGTTGGCACTTAACTCTGCACATGGGCAGGGCTCTCATCTCTATCAGGGCTATTCTATCCACACAGCAAACTTGGAAGTGCTAGACCCAAACCTTAATATATTTCACTTAGTGGAAATGCCAGAAACAATATTTTCCAATCATAATACAATAAAACTTGAAATAACAAAAATCTATCTGTAAAATTTTAAATATTCTTTTAATTGAGTCAAAGAGAAAGTGCAAATTAAATTTTAAGTATGTAGGAAATAACAATAATAATATGTATTTTAAAATATATCAGAGCCCAGCTGGTGTGGCTCACTGGTTGAGAGTTGACCTATGAACCAGCAGGTCATGGTTTGATTCCTAGTCAGGCCGCATGCCAGGGTTGTGGCTGTATCCCTAGTAGGGGGCATGCAGGAGGCAGCCCATCAAAGACTCTCACCATTGATATTTCTATCTCTCTCTCCCTTTCCCTTCCTCTTTCTGAAATCAATAAAATAAATAAATAAATTTAATTTAATTTAGTTAAATTTAGTTTAATATATCAGAGCCCTAGCCAGGGAGCTCAGTTGGTTAAAGTGTTCTCCCAATGTGCCAAGGTTGTGGGTTCGATTCCCAGTTGGGACACATACAAGGCTCAACCAATGAGTGCATAACTGAGTGGAACAACAAATCAGTGTTTTGCTGGCTCACTTTCCTTTCCCACCTCTCTAAAATCAATAAAAATAAAATGAATCAGAAACTAAAGCTAAAGATAAAATTGAAGAACCGTTTAGAGAAGAATATAAAATCTTAATTACATTAATAAATGGCAAAGAATAAAACAGATGAATTAAAAACTCAAGAAATTAGAAAAAAAATGCTAAAGAAAGCAGAAATAGGGAATTAACCAATGTAAAATAAAAATAAAAGGTTGTGTTCCTATAACTGAGAGAATTCCTCTGATCTTCATCTTCGAATCTCTGCTTTTGGCTGATGTGTCTGTACCATCTTTTATTTTCAACTTTTTTGACACTGTTTTCTCAGGATATTTTTATTTAGGTAAGCTTATCCCATTGACATTTATAGATATGATTTACTTCTGTATCACATTTTGTGACTTACTTTCTGTTTTTAAAGATTGGTTTCTATCTTTCTCCAGAGGCTGTGTATTTTAGGAAGGTTTGTATTGTCTTTAGCTCTTCTAGTGATTAGCTTTATATTATAATTTTTTTATTGCTTTTAGAGAGAGGAAGGGAGAGAGAAAGAGAGAGAGAGAGATCGATTTGTTGTTCCACTTACGCATTCATTGGTTGATTCCTGTAGTGCCCTAACCTGGAATTGAACCTGCAACCTTGGCCTATGGGGACAACACTCTCACCAACTGAGCTACCCGGCCAGGACTGTACTATAACTTTTTAAAATGTGCTTTATCCCCTATTTCTTTAGACCACATCTGTTTATTCCCTATTATACGCCATGATAAAATTATACTTGATTCATCCCATCTTCTTTATTCCACCTAATTTTAATCAACATATTATTATTAGTTCTTCTAGTGATCATCTCTGTACTTTTGAATATAGTATTTCTGTCTCTGTAAATTGATTTATTAGATATAAATGCTATCTTTTGACCATGGATAGTACAGATTAGGAAATCAACATCCTTTTGCCACACTCCATCTTCTTACATGTCCCCTTTTTTATTTTTGTTAATTGTATTACTTTTACTAGCATAGTTTATAATATTAACATACTGGGTTTTTTTGTTTTTGGGGAGTTTTTTAATCCTCACTCGAGGATATTCTTTCCATTGCTTTACAGAGAGAGTGGAAGGGGGGAGAGAGAGACATTGATGTGAGAGACACACATCGATTGGCTGCCTCCCGCACCCGCCTCTACCAGGGTCGGGGATCAAGCCTGCAACCAAGGTACACGCCCGTGGCTGGAATCGAACCCGGGACCCTTCAGCCCTTGGGCTGATGCTCTAACCACTGAGCCAAACTGACTAGGACAGCATTAGCCTTCTAAACAGTATACAGCAGTGCTTAAGAGAATGAGCTCTGGAACCAGAGTGCCTAGGTTAGAATCTTGGCGTTACCATTTTGTAGCTGTGTGACCTTGAGCAAGTGACTTAGCAGGTATTTCTGTTTCCTTATTTTTACAGTGGATATAATAATAGGTTCTATGGGTCGTTGTCATCATCATAAAAGCATAGCACTAGAACAGTGCCTGACGCATAGCATCTATAAGCATTTTTCCGGAAAATGTATTTATCTGACACTTGCTTTTCCTATTCCTTTCCTCCCTTTTCTTGTAGATTTGCTGTGCAAATCTCATGCTTGTTTTCTTTTTGTTTTTTGTTAACCCTTACCCTGGAATATTTTTTCCATTGATTTCCAGAGAGAGTGGAAGGGAGGGAGGGAGAGGTAGAGAAAGAGAGAGAGAGAAACACTGATGTGAGAGAGACACATTGATTGACTGCCTCCCCCACACTCCCTGACCAAGGCCAGGAATCTGAACCTGCAACCTAGGTGCGTGCCCTTGGCCAGGAATAGAACTCTCCACCCTTATGTGCAAGAGGGCCGACGTTCTAACCACTGAGCCCTACCAGCCAAGGCCATGCTTGGGGTTTTTTTATTATTACTCACTACCAAGTATTTGTAGGAAGCAGCTGGTGCAATGAACCGAGCCTGTAGTGAAGCTGCTTTGCCTGGAGTTTGTGTGTGTGTGTGTAGTGTGTGCAAAACAAAAAAAAGGTGAGACAGAGGGACAAAGACACACAGATTGGCTTAGTCTGTGTATCTCCCTAGCAACTACGGAGATGCTCATGATGTAGTGTTTTTCGGCCCCTATTTTATTAAGAGACTACCTCCAACGTAGATAACATTTTTCAGAATTTTATCATTTGGCACTGCCTTGCCCTGCTGCTTCAGGATGCCAAATAGTCCTTGGAAGTTTCACAGCTGTGCCCCTGAAACCTTCATTACAAACCAGAGTGATGGTTCTCCTCACATGTATCACCTGTGCAGTGTTTTGCCAGCCTTGAGAACTGAGATCAGAGCAGGTATTTCATCACAGCATTCTTCTGGACTCTGGTATAATTTTCACTGAATTTGGCAGGCCATCTTCATTTATTGTGTCTTAGGGTTACATTGGTACCTTATTTTATCAAAGATAGTGTTTGCATTTCTTTTTTTAATTTTAGCTCTTTTCCCTTCTTTTTATTGACTTTATTGGGGTGACACTGGTTAACAGAGGCCTCAGGGGCACAATTCTAGAACACATCATCTGTACACTGTATTGTGTGTTCACCACCCCTAGTTTATTTCTTGGATTTGGATGAGCTCAAGGATGACAGAGGTAACTTTATTTTGTTATTTTAAAACATTTTGATAATTTAAACTTCATTTTAAAATTTATTTTAAAACCAGAGCCATTTTAAAAAATAGTGTGTCCCACTCATCTACTGATGGGAACTTGGGCTATTTCCAGATCTTGGCTATTGTAAATTGCACTGCTATGAACATAGGGGTGCATACGTTCTTCTAATTGATGTTTTGGGATTCTTAGGATATATTCCTAGACGTGGGATCACTGGGTCAAATGGCAGTTCCATTTTTAATTTTTTGAAGAAACACCATACTGTTTCCCATAGTAGCTGCCCCAGTCTGCATTCCCACCAGCAGTGTACTAGGGTTCCCCTTTCTCTACACCCTCGCCAACACTTGTCATTTGATGATATGTTGATGGTAGCCATTCTGACAGGTGTGAGGTAATATCTCATTGTTTTAATTTGCATCTCTCTGATGATTAGTGACTTGGAGCATTTTTTCATATGTCCCTTGGCCATCTGTATTTCTACTTGGGAGAAGTGTCTATTTAGGTCCTTTGCCCATTTTTTTAGTTGGATTGTTTGTCTTCTTAAAGCTGTGGGACATTTATACCATAGGATACTATGCAGCTGTAAAAAAGAAGGATCCCTTACCCTTTGGGACAGCATGGATGGATCTGGAGAATATCATCCTAAGTGAAATAAGCCAGGCAGAGAAAGAGAAGTATCACATGATCTCACTCATATGTGGAATCTAATGAACAAAATAAACCAATGAACAAAATAGATAGAGAGATATAGAGCCATGGAGCATTCAGATGAATTTCAGAGAGAAGATGGGGGTGGGGAGTGGGGGGGGAGACATTAATCAAAGAACTTATATACATATATGCATGGCCTATAGACATAGACAATAGTGTGGAGAAGGCCTGGGGGGGCAGGGGTGGATGCCGGGTGGAGGGGATCGATGGGGGAAAAGGGGGCATCTGTAATACTTTCGACAATAAAGTTGAAGTTAAAAATAAATAAATAATAAGTTAATAAATAAATAAAACAGAGTGTCTCTATTCTTTTTTTTTTTTTATAACATATCTTCATTGATTTCAGAGAGAGGAATGGAGAAGGGGAGAGAGAGACAGAAACATCAGTGATGAGAGAGTCCTCACTGATCGGCTGCCTCCTGCACCCCCCTGATTGGGGATCGAGCCCACAACTCGGGCATGTGCCCTGACTGGGAATTGAACCTCGATCTTCTGGATCCTAGGTCGATGCTCAACCGCTGAGCCACACCCAGCTGGGGCGGGTGTCTTTATCTTGAAGAGAGTTGGTGTTATACCATCTCAGACCATGTTAAGTGGGAAAAATCGTTTCAGAGTTCTGTGTGCACCCTAGTCGCAACAAGGTCTCTCATCTTCATATAGTTGGTAAGGAACAGAACTTGGGTTCACATCCAAATCGCCAAATCCAAAGCCCCAAGTTCTTTTTATTGTGGAACCTTCTCTTAAAGAATGTAAATATCTCTTTAAGGTGTCTTTATTATGTTTCTTCGTGTGCACATTTTTCTATTAACTACCTTTTTATTTCCTGTTTTTAGTGTGACAAGTACAAGACTGGAGTTATTGATGGGCCTGCATGTAATAGCCTTTGTGTTACAGAAACTCTTTACTTTGGAAAATGCTTGTCTACGAAGCCCAACAATCAGGTATGGACATTACAAATAAACATTCCAGATTGATGGCACATGCTAATTTTACCTTCAACTAAAGCATCATTGAAAGAATTCTTGAGCCAGAGCTTTAGGGCATTTTATATATTCCAATTTTGTATGCTTTGATCACTCATCCCACAGATGTTTATTAATCCCCTATTCCCAGTGTAGTCCAGGCACTGTTTTAGTTACTAGGACTACAGTGGTGATTAAGATAGAAAAGATTACTTCCCTTGTGGATCTTACATTATCCCAGAGGGTTGTGAAATATAAAGTTCATAGATAAGCAAGATAATTATAGGATGTAGTGTGTTTTATAAGGATATACATAGGGCAAATTGATGGAGAATGCAGGGGATGGGGCTGGTACAGCAGGTGATCAGGGGAGACCTTTCTAAGATAACATTTGAGCTCATACCTGAATGAAAAATTAAACTACAGTCATGGGCTAAAGGACAGGATGAGCTAAGTCATGCAAGAAGAACTGTAAGCAACTGATAAACAAAATGGAAAAAAAAATGTTCTACCTCACTTATCATCAAAGAAATATAAATTAGCACGGCCTGCATGGCTCAGAGACTGAGCATCAACCTATGATCCAGGAGATCGAGGTTCGATTCCCAGTCAGGGCACTGGGCAGATCAGTTAGACAAGAAAAAGAAATAAATGGCATACAAATTGTAAACGAAGAAGTAGAATGATCTCTCTTGACAGATGATATGACCTGATGTAGAAAAGCCTAAAGATTCTTGCCCTAGCCAGTTTGGCTCAGTGGTTAGAGCATCAGTTGGAGGACTGAAGGGTCCCAGGTTTGATTCCTGGTCAAGGGCACGTACCTCGGTTGCAGGCTCGATCTCCAGCCTCATTTGGCATGTATGCAGGAGGCAACCAATTGATGTGTCTCTCTCACATCGATATTTCTCTCTCTCCCCCCCCCCACTCTCTCTGAAAAGTAAGGAAAAAACATCCTCAGGTGAGGATTAAAAAAAAAAGAAAAGAAAAACTTAAAGATTCTGCACACAAAAGTTGTTAATAGCTAATAAGTAAATTCAGCAACGTAGCATGAAACAAAATCAACACGCAAAATTCGGTTGCATTTCTCTACATCAACTGACCAATCCAAAAACAAAATTAAGAAAACCATTCTATTTACAATAGCATCCAAAAGAATACTTAGTAATTAACTTAACCAGGGAGGTAAAAGACTTGTACAGTGAAAACTCTAAAAGTAATTAAAGACATAAATAAATGGAACACATCCCATGTACATGGGTTGGAATACTAAATATTGTTAAGTTGTTAATATTACCCAAAGTGATCTACAAAGTCAGTGCAGTCCCTATCAAAATCCCAATGACAATTTTTGTTTGTTTTTGTTAATCTTCACCCAAGGATATTTTTTTCCATTGATTTTTAGAGAGAGTGGAAGGGAGGGGAGGAGAGAGAAAAACATCAATGTGAGAGAGACACATCAATGGGTTGCTTCCCGCACGCACCCTGACCAGGACGGGGATCGAACCTGAAACCCAAGCACATGCCGTTGACTGGGAATTGAACCCGAGACCCTTCAGTACTCGGGCTGACGCTCTAACCACTGAGACACGCTGGCCAGGGCCCAATGACAATTTTTGCAGAAATAGAAAAAACCATTCTAAAATTCATATGACATTCTCAAGGGACCCTGAAAAGCCAAAACAACCTTGAAAAAGTACAAAACTGGAGGACTCACGCTCATGATTTCAAATTTTACTATAAAGCTACAGTAATCAAAATGGAGTGGTGCTGGAATAAAGACCAACATACAAACCAACAGCATAAAATAGAGAGCTCAGAAAAAGCCCTCACATGTATGGCTAGATGATTTTTTTACAAGGGTGCTAAGACCATTCAACAGGGAAAGGACTGTCTTTTCAACAAATGGTGCTGGGGAAACTGAATGTCCACCTGCAAAAGAACGAAGTTGAACCCTTACCTAACATCATACGCAAAATTAAAGATCAAAGACCTAAACGTAAGAACTAAAACTGTAAAACTCTTATATGAAAACATAGGGTAAAAGCTTCATGACACTGGATTTGGCAATGACTTCTTGGGTATGACACCAAAGGAACAGAAAACAAAAGTAAAAATAGACAAATGGGACTTCATGAAATTTTAAAATTTTGTGCGTAAAAGGTTGTATCAGTAGAATAAAAAAGCAATCCACAGATTGGGAGAAAACTTGCAGATCATGTATCTCAGGACTAATATCCAGAATATATAGACAACTCCTAAAATGCAACAACAAGAAGCCAAACAACCAGATTCAAAAATGGGCAAAGGACTTGGATAGATATTTCTTAAAAAAAAAAAAAAAAGACAAATGGCCAATAAATACATGAAAAATGCACAATACTGCCTGGTCAGTCAGGGCACATGCCTGGGTTGTGGGCTTGATCCCCAGTAGGGGTCGTGCAGGAGGCAGCTGGTCAATGACTCTCACTGTTGATGTTTCTCTCTCTCTCCCTCCTTTCCTCTCTGAAATCAATAAAAACTTTTTTTTTAAGCACAACATCACTGATCACTAGGGAAATGCAGATTAAAACCACAGTGAGATACTACCTCATACCCATTAGGATGGCTACTATAAAAATCAACAGAATAACAAGTGTAGTGAAAATATAGAGAAATTGGAGCCCTTGTGCACTATTGAAAGCAGAGTCTTTTAGAAATATTGGACACCCATGTCCATGCCAGCATTATTCACAATAGCTAAAACATGGGAGCAACCCAAGTGCCCATTGGCAGATGAATGGAAATGCAAAATGTGATATAATATTTATAATGGAATATTATTCAACTTTAAAAAGGAAGGAAATCCTGACACATGCTACAATATGGACGTAATCCTAAGTGAAATAAGCCAGTCAAAAAAAGACAAATTCTATGTGATTCCATTTATATGAGAGAGTAGTCAAAATCATAAAGACAGAACATCTGGGAGAAAAGGGGTAACAGAGTTATTGTTAATGGGTAGTTTCCATTTTACAAGACGAAGAGTGCTAAAGAAGATGGTGGTGATGGTCGCACAACTTCATTAATGTAATACCACTGAGCTGTAAACTAAAAATGGTTGAGATGGCAAATTTTGTTTTTGTCATTTTTACCACAATTAAAAAATGGAAAAATAAAATTGATCATAGTTAAAATATATATATTTAGGCATACATTACTTCTATAACTTAAAAAATTAAGGGGAAAAAAGCTTCAGAGTATGATTTCCAATTTGCAATTTAAAAAGAAAGTCACAATCTCAGTGTTTTGTTTCTTGTTTATGTGTGTTTTTAGATGAGGAGGACACTAAAAATGTAGTTGGTAGTTTTCTACTTAGCCTAAAGCATAACTTGCCATTCTTTTCCACATAGATGTATTTAGGGATTTGGGATAATCTGCCAGGGGTTGTGAAATGTCAGATGGAACAAGCACTTCATCTTGATTTTGGAACTGAATTGGAACCAAGAAAAGAAATAGTGTTATTTGATAAACCAACTAGAGGAACTACTGTACAGAAATTCAAAGAAATGGTCTACAGTCTCTTTAAAGTAAGTATATCCATTCACATGTTGCTAGTGTGAAGCGCTACACTCTTCAGGAAGAATTGGCAGGACCTCATCCTAAACCACAAGAATGTTGCTATTCTTTGACCTTTATCAGGGACTATCTTGAGAGAAATAATTCAAAGAAAAGAAAAAATGTGTGCAAGATGTTTAACATTATAATGGCTAAAAACATCCAGATATGAGAGGGGAGTTCATTAAATAGATGTGCTTCTAGTTTGACATTGTAACTGATACTTTTTAAAAGGTGAAATAAAATCAATCAGTGCATCCTGATTTGTGAATTATTTTTAACATCTTTGAAGAAATACTCAGAGATGAATAAGTATTAAAAGATGAAAATAGTTACTTTTAGAAATAACTTATTTTTATTGCTTATATTTTCACTCATAATCTTTTTCTCTGGAGTTTATATTTTCAAATTACTTTATCCCAGGGAACCACTTTTCAACCTTCATTATTGGAATAATGTAACTTAAAATAATTATGTCAATGTGATAACTACAAAATAGTAATTTTCAGTTGACCCTTCTTATAATTGGATATGAGCACATTACGCTGCAATTTTGCAAGTAAATATATGAATAAGAATAGTTGTCTTGGTTAACTGTATGCAGAGTGTAAGAGGGTTGTAGGACTTAGGGTGGCCATTTCTTAATAAACAGACTTAGCCAACTTTTACTGCAATTGAGTAAAACATGGTTCTCAGTCACTTAGCATCATAAATATTTGGAGATGCTTTAAGTTCCTTATGGGGATTCAGTAGCAAAATTACTACTTAGCATGGTAATAATCTCCACAAAGGTAGTATATTTTTCATTCCTTCTATATAATTAGCTAACTTATCTTTACAGGCAAAATTGGGTGACCAGGGAAACCTCTCTGAGCTGGTTAATCTCATCTTGACGGTGGCTGATGGAGACAAAGATGGCCAGGTTTCCTTGGGAGAAGCAAAGTCAGCATGGGCACTTCTTCAATTAAATGAATTTCTTCTGATGGTGATACTTCAAGATAAAGAACATACCCCCAAATTAATGGGGTTCTGTGGTGACCTCTATGTAATGGAAAGTGTTGAATATACCTCTCTTTATGGAATAAGCCTTCCATGGGTCATTGAACTTTTTATTCCATCTGGGTTCAGAAGAAGCATGGATCAGCTGTTCACACCATCGTGGCCCAGAAAGGCTAAAATAGCCATAGGACTTCTAGAATTTGTGGAAGATGTTTTCCATGGCCCCTACGGAAACTTCCTCATGTGTGACACTAGTGCCAAAAACCTAGGATATAACGATAAGTATGATTTGAAAATGGTGGACATGAGAAAAATTGTGCCAGAGACAAACCTGAAAGAACTCATAAAGGATCGCCACTGTGAGTCTGATTTGGACTGTGTCTATGGCACGGATTGTCGAACTAGCTGCGATCAGAGCACAATGAAGTGTACTTCAGAAGTGATACAGCCTAACTTGGCAAAAGCCTGTCAGTTACTCAAAGACTACCTATTGCGTGGTGCTCCAAGTGAAATTCGTGAAGAATTAGAAAAGCAACTTTATTCTTGTATTGCTCTCAAAGTCACAGCAAATCAAATGGAAATGGAACATTCTTTGATACTAAATAACCTAAAAACATTATTGTGGAAGAAAATTTCCTACACAAATGACTCTTAATTCATTTGGACATTGTGACCACTGTAGGAAACTTACCACTTGAGCATCTAAAAAGTGACTTGATTGAAATCCCTTCCGGTTATACAAAACTACTCTCCTATTCTAAGCCATCATCTTAAAATACATGTCTATTGCTGGATGGCAGGATATAAAGGATCAACAGATCCCCAAAAATTTCATCCCTGCTTTCAGAAGCCCTCGTACATTTTCCAGTACATTCACTGTGTAACTATTTTGACTTAAAATAATGCTGTGAAGCCTCATTTCATAATCAACAGTGAGAGTATTTTGTAGATGTTAGCCAAAATACCACTGCTGGAAACATTTGTTTGCATTGAAGCTGCTGTTTAAAATTTATACATAAATTTACTAATGTCTTAGCATGGTAAAGTTTGCACATTAACAGAAATGAAGACTGCAAAGCAGATAAATTAAAATTACTGGTTTATAAACAGATGTTACTAGTATGCTTTGTATTAGACTTAAAACACATTTTAACTCAAACATTATGTGGCTTCAGAATGTTTCAAGTGGCTCTTACCAAGCCTCTTAAAATTCAAAACTTACCAGTAAATGTTTTATTTAGCAACATGTAACTACCACTTTTAAAGGCTGAAAATGGATGAGCTTTTGTATCTTAGATCCAAATGGTCCATATCGTGGTATTAACCAGCCAACTTAACATGACAGGCCCAATCCAGAAAGAGACATTAAGAGGAGTGTGAAATCAGCACTTTTTTGGTAATTTGAAATTTTCAAACAGTATTTCCTGTTGGCCAAAGGGCCATGTTTAGAGGCACATAAATTTACCCATCTAATATTTTCTCATGTAAACTTGATATACAAAGATTTGCTCCTTTCAGGTTTATTCAGATCTGGCACATACCTTTCAACGTCTCCATAAGATTAAACACCTGTTTCAGATAAAAGACCCAGTATTTTCTGCTCAAAGATTTCACATGATTCAAGTATCTTAGCTATGTGACTGTCATTGGACAGCTTCCTCTCAAAAATTAAAGCCATGGCTCGGCTGGGAGTGGCTCAGCGGTTAAGCATCGACCTAGGATCCAGGCGATCAGGGTTTGATTCCCGGTCAGGGCACATGCCCGGTTGCGGGCTGTAGCTGATAAATGACTCTCTCATCATTGATGTTTCTATCTCTCTCTCTCCCTCTCTGAAATCAATGAAGATATATTTAAAAAAAAAAAAATTTAAAGCCATGGATTAGCACCAGTTTTGCTTACTTTAAAATTATATACTTCGAAGGTACCTTTTCTTCCCATTAATCATCTGGTTACAATAAACGGACGAAAAATATTTCCTAGTGAAAAGCTATGTTGCTTGCCAGATTTTTAAGGGAGAGCTGTACATCCTACAATTGGAGGGATAACTCCTGTCAGGGAGAACAGAAACCCAAACAGCAGGCGTGAACTTTGAGTCAATATGCAAGACATCTTTTTCTGGAAAAATCTAGACTTGTTTCTTGAGGGAAAACTGTCAATTTCAGGGCATTCCTAGTGTTTCATTAACAAGAGCTTAACACAGAAACAGCTGCTTGTCCAATAACTTTATTGTCTATATGAAAAATCTTCATAGGAAATTGTTGTTTGGTTTATTAGCTCTCAGCAGCCCGTTCCTGAGCCCTGAGGAAGCTTGCTTTTTTCTGAGCTACCCGATCTTTCTTCTGGGCAAGAGACATTTTGGGACGATTCCACCTATAAAACAAAGGAAAGAGACAGGAATGTTATTTTTAAAAACCACAGCTGAAGAGGATAGAGAATATTTAATTGTAATAAAAAAGACAAAAACTTTGTACTAGCATAGAATGAACCACCTCAGTAGCTTCTGAGGCTAATACATTTCTATCACTACAATTACTTTAGCAAACCTGGTTCCCTTCACTTCTGCAACATCATGCAGAGTTAGTGATCGAGTTTGCACTTGATTCAGAGGCTAAGTAAGGTGAAACAAGGCAGGCTCAGAACCCCTCCCAACCGCTTTCTCTTGAAAAGACAACAGTAAGATGCATACCTCTTCTTTTTAACTTCTTTCTTAGGCTTCTTCTCATAGACTGGATTCTCTCGTATAGCAGCATGAGCTTTCTTATACATCTCCTCCATCTGAAACAAAGCAAAGCAAACAGTACTTGGTTTCATTTCATATGCCCTAAATAATACAACATACTGTAATCTATTACTCGCTCTATTCTGTCTTTCTAAGCCAGATTCTCAGAAGGCACTCAACTAGGTCAGTGGTAGTGTCTGCTTAAATTTCTTTTTTCAAAAAATATATCTTTATTGATTTCAGAGAGGAGAAGGAGAGCCTGCAACCCAGGCATGTGCCCTGATGGAGAATTGAGCCATAATCTCCTGGATCACAGGTTGATGCTCAACTGCAGAGCCACACCGGCCAGGCTATCTGCTTAAATTTCTAAATGTAGTATCTAAATTTCTTTTCCTAAGAAATTCCCAATTTTTTACCATAGGTAATGTAAGTTGACATTATCCACAAAACTCAACTCAAATGTTTCTTGAAGAAAAATCTGCATGCATTTCTGATGACTTCGGCTATACTTTTTAAGTCATTAAAATTTAGAACAAAGTGATTTCTGTAGAAACATGTTATGCTCATTTAAAATACTGTCTGACCTAAATTCTTTTATTGAAGTGAGGATATACACCAAAACAAAGTTTTTAAGATGATAAAATTAAGAGTGTATGGGGCCCAGACCAGGTGGCTCGGTTGGAGCATTGTCCTATAAACCAAAAGGTTGTGGGTTGGATTCCCAGTTGGGCACATAGGGGAGACAACCGATAGATGTTTCTCTCTCTCCCCCTTCCTCTCTAATATCCTTAGGTGAGGATTTAAAAAAAAAAAGTGTATGGGGCCAAGTAGCAATTGCCAAGTTAATTTGTCCCCAGATTTACATTTTCCATTTGTATCTGATAGATCTTTCAAAGCCATTACCAGTACCACATACCAGGGACTTCTTACAGCTATTACTACTACTATGAGTCACTGGTTTCTGGCAGCAATATTAGGCCTCTGGAACCAGAAAGGTCAGAATTTCTCTAGAACATCCTGAAAATCTATCCAATTAGGTATCTTAATGAAAATTTTGTTCTAAAATGTATCAAAAAAACCCACAATGTTGCAACTCTCTGAATTGTTTCAATTACCATCTCCCAAATACAGTAGACCCTGGAACACAGGTTTGAACTGCACAGGTCCACTTATACACAGATCTTTTTTCAATACACAGTTGGCCCTCAATATCCATGGTTTTTGCATCTGTGGATCAAAAACAGTTTATTTTCAAACCAGAGGGCAGCTGCAGTTGAGTTTTTGGGGAGTCAAAGGTTGTATGTGGATCTTTGACTGTGTGTGTGTGTGGGGTGTTGTCGGTGCCTCTAACCCCCGCACTGTTAAGAGTCAACTGTAAATGACTTGATCCTGTGCAAGATCACTCATGAAAAGCAGCTGTAAAATACCTGAGTGTTCATTATCAAAATTTAGTAAAAATTACAGCCCTCTAAAAAATTAATCAGGTAATCAATGTGGAGAAGATTGTGATTACTACATGCACTTGTGTAAAGCTTAGCCAAGAAAAACAATGCAAAGCTTTTCACTACATGAGACCTCAACCACCACAATCCCTTTTCAAAGTTAATTTCTCTACCTTTTTTAGCACTCTATTATAGCTCTCCACTGTAGTTAACAAACCTATTTGATGAATTCACATGTAGTAATTAAAAAAAAAAAAAAAATCTACGCAAGTTCACTTTTCAAGAGATCAGACAAGAGGGAAATACAACCATTTATGTAGGTAATGCCATGAGTTTAGGTAAAGACCACTTCCTGTTGGAGACATGCCAAATGTCTGCATAGAACTGCAGTATGCATTCGTAAGGAGAGATACCTCCATAGATAAAATTAATGAGCTAACTAGAAACTACAGTAGCCAAACACTGGTCCCAACGGAAGCACAGAATCTATATAGGGGAAGGCATTAAGAAACAGACATCTGAAAACACAGACTGAGAGCTGGAAAAGTCTTGATTGTGACATGACCAGAACAAGAAGTGGTTCAGGAAAAAAAAAAAAAATGCAGGTCAAGTAGAATCAGTCAAAAGTAAAAGACGTTTTTAGTAGGGAGAACAAGGATGGTACCAGTAGTAATATAAGTAATACATCTACATAGCTAATATAAAACTACCTTTTCCCTAGTTAAAAGCTCAACCTATGTGTTTATCCAGCCCTAGACTGTGTACAAAGCGTTAAAAAACAAAGTAATCTTTTCTCAATAAAACTGTATTTAAAAAATCATTTTCATAACCAAAGCTATGCCAAAAATACATACTAACAGGAAAAAAAAAATAACAAAATTACTTAATATAACCCGCCCATTTATATATAATTCTGTATTTGTAATATAGCAATCAGTATGATTTTTTTTTGTTAATCTTCACCTGAGGATATTTTTTCCATTGATTTTTAGAGTGTGAAGGGGGGGAGAAACATCCATGTAACAGAGACACATCAATTGGTTGTCTCCTTTTCACACCCCCACCGGGGTGGGGATCAAACCTGCAACCAGTGACCCTTCGGGTACAAGGGCTGACACTTGAACCACAGCCACACCAGCCAGGGCTCAGTGTGATTTTTGTGTTCTATGCTGTCACTACAATTTCAAAACAGGTACTATCATCAATTACTCCAATGCATTAATAGAGACAGACCTGGAGACTCAACTTTAGGAGTGATCAATTTCCCAACATTAAATTCACTTTTGCAAACATCATTCCCATTAATTACTCAGCATCATAAAGAACTGTTAGAATCTGTACATCTCTCTTTCTATGTGTGTGCCTGAGAAATTTACAAAGTCCAAAACATAGCACTTGTTTGCTTTGAAGAAAAAAACCTTTCTTCCCCATGGCCTCAAAATGAATGAAGTTTGGTAAATAGCACCTCAAACCAGAGGGTAGATTAGAACTATGACCACAGGAATGAAATCTATAAATACAGAACAGCCAAATGCATAAAAGCCACCAAAGGTTTGGACGCTTAACCTGCCACCTTTAGCATCTAAAATTCCTATAAGCATGCTGACGAGTCTAGCTCATTATACTATCTCATCCTTTAACCTACCCCAGGTCCAACACCCCAATTTCATGCCATTTCATTTTAAGCCAAGGACAGTTTATAGAAGTCTGTCTGTACCTATGAACATGCCCATATTAAACTCCTATTAACCTTAAATAAAACTATATAATGTACCCACAAAAAACAAGTAGTGAACCTGGTTCCATAAATGAACCATACATGCATTTTTAGTTAAAATTTTTACCATGTCTGGAGTTACGTTGTTCTTTATGTACTGAGAGAACTGTTTCTTGTAAGCATCTTCATCTTCCTCCATTAGATAACGCATATAATCTGCAACGTTCTGACCCATGATGTGCTTCCGATGTACTTCTGCATTGAATTCCTTGCTTTCTGAATCATAACCAGGGAATCGTTTGGTGCTAAAATAAAGTTTTCACATTTTAGTATATATTGATTGAAATTAGTTCACTAGCAGGAATTCATTTCAG